CTTGAAATATTATGATCAATCTTAACACTCCAACAAGTTATAATTTAATCCTAGAAAACTATACCTTAATCCCAAAAGTTAATAATTAGCAGCTCCAAAAAAAAAACAAAAGACTTTCCATTGTAACCCCTTCATTACTTTTTCAAAGGCAAGAAAATTAAAATTTTTACCTTTGTAATATTCATGATGTTTTATTGGGTAGTTGGAATTAGGCCCACGCTCATGAACAAAAACTAAAAATATTGAACCCACTCTAATAAGTTTGAACTAACTAAATCTTGTGCAGAAAAAATAATCGAATACATTTTTCACTCAAAGAAATGTGAAAATATGATAAAAAATTGCGACTAGTGATTGAACCTTTTTTTTTTTTTGATAACCCTCAATCTTATATTACTCATAATTTTTTTGAAATTACTATAATTTTTTTAAATTAATGCAAACTTAGCTTGAAATTGATTACTATTAACTTAATTACTTATATAGAGAAAGAATTTTTGATAACATTATTAATAATGTTATCAGTTGTCAGGATCCATTGTACATGGTTGTAATTAGCCTCATTTTTTGTAAAGGATTGTAATTAGCCTCTTTTTATTGAGTATTACTTGCACAGACTACATATATTGGTGTTTGACACTTTTGTATTTAAAAAATCTTTAAATATGCAACACAATATAAAAAAAAACATATACCACAATACTTTTATTGATCGGAGAAAAAAATTAAATTTTGTTGGTTAAGTGTACCCAGTATACATTTTTGGCTCCGCCCCTACAAGTCACCCACATCGAGACTAAAATATTCAGAATGAATAAATTTCTAATAATATAATTTCAAAAAATTATCAAATTTAAACTCAAAATATCTAAATTTATAATTCATCTCCATTATGACTTGACTTACCCTTCGAAGTTTAACCCTTCATTACAGCCAAGATGCCCTTTGTGACATTCCATGAGTTTAATATGGGCTTGAGCCATCCCTCCTTGTATTAAAACAAAAACCCGAGGTCAGTACAACTTTTAAGTTCTTTCCATGAGTGAATAATGATGACTGGGCCCCCATTAGGAAACCTCAACGTCCCAAAAAAATCAACTCTAAATGGGTCCAAGATTGTTAATGAACCTAATACTTGTTCAATTTGAGGACTTAGCTGTTTTCTCTCTCTTTTTTTCTAAACCTTTGCCGGGATGCATGACCTAATATATTTCAATCCCTTTTCACAGTTTTTTCGGAGCAACTTCACGACTGAACCTCAAGGGTGATAGTGGAGAAATTAGGATGCCAAGCAATGTTTGTTGCATTGTGGTTGAATATCTTCTTGGAGGCACTCTAAAATCTTACCTGATAAAGAACCGAATAAGGAAGCTCTCTTTCAAAGTAGTCATTCAACTAGCACTAGATTTGGCAAGAGGGTAAGAAACTCTATCCATGTCCAAGCCTATCTAAAAATGAATCTAGTAAATTACTTTCATCTCTGCATTGCTCTTACCTGTAATTCCATGGAGTCGCGTTTCCGGAGCTTGACAAGTTGGCATTAAGTGACACTCTTCTTTCTTGTCACTTGTAGATTGAGTTACCTTCATTCCCAGAAGATTGTTCACAGAGATATAAAGACAGAGAACATTCTTCTTGACAAGAAGCTTACAGTAAAGATATCTGACTTTGGAGTTGCCCGAGTCGAGCCTTTGAATCCTGATGAGATGACAGGCCAAACTGGGACTTTGGGTTACATGGCTCCGGAGGTATTGTAATCAAGTTCAGTAAATCTTCTCTAACTCTGCTAGTTCCATGTATACTTCTGATTTCAATGTGCTATCTCTATCGCTTCCCAACTCCAGATTATAACTAGGTCGATTACTTCCCGACTCCACATGTATAATTGTGCATGGTTGCAGGTTCTTAATGGTGATCTATACAACCGGAAGTGTGATGTCTACAGTTTTGGGATCTGTTTGTGGGAAATATATTGCTGTGACATGCCCTATCCTGACCTCCGGTCTTTGGAAGAATTTTCAGCAGTTATCTCTAAGGTATATGATTTTCTCCAATTGCTCTTATTTTTCTCTTCAGTTTGTGGCAGCATTTTTGGAGCTAAGATAGTCAATATCATCTATAAAAATCAGTAATTGCATAGAACTAACAGGACTTACACATGGAACTGCAGAATCTGAGGCCGGAGATACCCAGGTGTTGTCCAAGCTCTTTGGCTAAAGTGATGAAGCAATGCTGGGACGCAGACCCAAGAAGAGACCGGAGATGGAAGACGTAGTACACATGCTAGAAACCATTGAGACATCCAATGGTGGAGGTATGATCCCTAGTGATCAGCCTCGGGGTTGTCTCTGCTTCTTCAGACATCAAGGGTCTTAATTTTGTACATTGTCGTTCAGAGCAAAAGACATGGGAATCTCTAGCACAGAAGTTCAAATTGTACAGCATACTTGGATATGAATAGCACAAGAATTCAAGTTGTATATATTAACTATAGGGTCTAGCTCTAAGAGTGATGGCGAAGAGGATGGAAATATGCTAGGGAAAAGTCTTCAACAATCTTTTACCTTGGCTTGTAAATTAAAATCTTCATCACTTCCATCATGTTTATACTACAATATCATCATGAATGGATACCAAATATGCTATGATTTCATGCTACTGGTAGTTTGGTCACTGCATGAATATCAGATAATCCGAGTCTTTACAATCAAAGATGACTACTATCAGAGGAGAGCATACCAAAACAATCTTTAACAACCACAGGTTTTGGGGGAGACAGACTGCAATTCTCGACCACGGATCAGTGAAACTGGATTACCATATGCCTTATAAATTCAGGTGAAAACTCATTATGCAATTTCAGCCCATGAATCATTTCAATGACTAAAAGGAATCAGTAATCTTTATTTAGAAACGGAGTACATTTCAAAGGAGTAGACATCGTCAAGTCAAAAAATCATAAATCCAGAATCCCTTTCCATTAATCACATAACGCTGTGTCATTCTATTCCTTTCTGCAAAAACAATAAAGATAGAAACCGAGGTCTTGATTGCTAAATGGTGAACGTTAGCTAGTGCTGATATCTCCATTTTCCTCCCATACAACCAAGAAGGCTTTTAAAATCCTAAAACTCAGCCAAAAGGGCTAGTATTGATTGGATGACCTCTATAGTGTACTTTACGTCCCGGAAGAATCTCTATTCATTTTTTTATTTTTCTCTTCTTGTTCAGTCCCAGCTTGCGCTGGTGGCTTTTGGACCAACCTCCATCCCGTACAAAGGTAGTTTCAAAATATGTTCCACTGCTGATTAACCATTGGAACATCAAACCAGTGAGATTTGAATCATTGGAACATCAAACCAGTGAGATGAGGTATTTTGTTGTCAACGGTAACCATATGAGCTGTACAGAGATAAGAACACCCAGGTACCCGACTTCAAAATTTCAGAGTAACTGTTGTAGTACGAGGATATTGATAATTTTGTGCTATATGCTTCCAGTAGGAGCCCCGAGAACAAGGCTAAGGATTCAAACCACGTATATTGTCACTTGCATTCTTGAATTCCTCCCAGAGTAAACTCCAGATTGTCCCTCTCAGACGAGAGGGTTCTTCAGGTCCAAACCAATGCTTGCCAAACTGAGATTTAAAATACAACCAAGGAAAATATCACCTTTACATATGAAATGGAAAATTTTTATGAATAAATGTAATATAGAGGCCACAGTGCGTATCATTAGTCCCTCCAATGCAAGATCACATGAATAAGCTATAATGACCACACTTACACTCAACCAACATCACACGTTAAAAAATGCTAAGGAGCAGGAAGACTCTACCATTGCTAAATCATTCTTTTTCATCCTTTTAGGAGCCTCCTGTAAGAAGCGTTCCATGTAGAAGAGAACAAACACACCACAGTCATACTCATTTCTCTGCTGTGGAACCTGTAGGGGAAAATGAAGACAATGCAACTGGAAAGTTTAACATCACAGCCAGCAACCCATAAATCATAGTTGGAGAAAGAAACTTTTCCCAGCAAAATCTGAAATCTACCATAACTCATTTTTCCTGGATTTTTGGAAAACCTCAGCCTATTCCCCACCAAAATGTTGCAGGAAGCTACTCTTGCAAGCCTTAACAGATTACTTCTATGTCGTGTAAAAATAAGGCATTGCACACAAGTCTATAGCACTAACTCAGTTACATATGAGTTAAGATGTTTAGAAAGAGATTTGATTGTTCGCAAGTGCTTTCAAGATATCGGATACATAGGTTTGCAAATACCAATGACACAGCGTCTCCAATATTGGATTCTCTTTAATGACATTAATCCTGTACCATACGAGCTAAGTGTTGCATACACATAACAAGCATAAAACTCATACTAATGGTTTGGAGGTATACTTTGAAGAAAAGAATGCATAGGCAAAACCTATATATCAAATGAGGCACAAGAGAGAGAGATTTACCTCAATTGTCTTCTCATTGATTCTATGTGGAAGATCTTTCCAGATCTTATCAGCAATAGGAAGACCTGAAAGAGCTTCTTCTTTATTCAGATAGTTCCATTCTTCTCTCAAAAAGCTACAAGCACAACTTAAATATTCAATATGTCAAAGGATGACCTAGTTAAGATGCTATTATAGCAAAAAATCAGTGTTCTTAATAAATAAAAAAGGAACAGCAGATTAATTGGTCATGGGATATGACTATTACAACTAAATACCCATAATGCTACATAACAAAAAAAGATAAATAATTCCCACCATTTTGTATATTACAAGAGGAATAAACTTACTAAAATCCCTTGATAATGAGTGGTATAGCAAATCCCCTAAATTCATTCAATTGTACATGATGGGTTCTTGGTGAAGTTAATCATGGCAATTCGACTCTAGTTAAATGTCAAAGGTGTAAAATGCAATAACCATATGGCCTGTCTCAAACCAAAAGCAGTAGTCACAAAGGTACAAAATGCCATAAGAATACAAGGTACAAGTTCAAGCAAGATGCATCCTCAATTCTAGAGAAGCAAATACAAGACAGTAAAGGATGTGATCACTAAAAAAACATGTGACTTCATATCAACAATGTCATATCCCATTTTTTGAAGTTGGAAAGAAAAAATAGTCCTATCCCCTCAATAGAAAGCTTCAGCCACCGTTTTCGTCTGTCTGCAGAAAAATTGTCACTTGTCTGATTATTCTCTATATCCTTGTTTTTGGGCTTGCAAAAAGGCACAAAACCTCAAAAAAATAAAAGAAAAGAAAACGACTCCAAATAGCTGAAATTTGGTACCAATACCACTGATTAAAAACTTGAATCTCAGAAGTACTGCAATCGTTTATCCTGAATTATAGGTCATATGGTTGGCAAGCCCTTCTTTCATCTCACCTTTTAATGTTCTCGAAAATTGATTTTCTAGAGTGAAGTCCTAGTGAATCCAAATGAAGTACAATTGGCCCTGCTTCCTCTTCCTTGTATGGGATGCATATTATCACCAAGCTCCAATGAAGGCTGCATAGAAGGGGGAAGAAAAAGAGAATAAAAATTTTGCAGTAACTTGAGCAGCATGTGAACATATTAAATACAAGGCAAAACATAAAGTAACAAGCTTCCACAAGTCACATGATAAACATAAAGAAAAGATGATAAAAGGCAACTCACTCAAGGAAGTATTGACAATAGGAACAGAAAAAGGGCATTTGGCCCCAGCCTGTCCTAAATAAAATTCTGGACCACAAAGTACTACTCCCATACAAAAGGGAAGAGTAATAACTACGGACCATTCCATCACTTCCATTTGTCTTATATTTAAATGACAAGCTTAGTTTCGTGCCAAGGACAAGACCCTTGGTCTCCAGTAAGACAATGAAAGATAGTGGCAACATGTACCATTATTTACAACACTTTGTGGCACAAATTCTTCTTCCTTTTGATACATAATTATAATAAACAAACTGAGGCTGTCCACTATAGTTGTCCCAAGGTACCCGACACCAAGCTAAAAGCCTAAAACAACAATGCTTTCCAAACCCGCTACCCAAACCTGTAGACTGCAAGTGAGGTTTTTATCTTGAAGATTAGGAACCTGGGTATTAGAAGAAATAAAACTGCTCAACCACTTATCAAGAACGGCCGCCCAGAGGAGCTTGAATAGAAGACTGTCCTTCTTGGGTACACTCTACACTTCCAGATTTTCTTTATATGTAACCAAATTTGATGCCATCAAGAAATCTAATTTTCGCCTTTGGAGGGTGCAGAAAACAAAAAATTGCTGAAGCCACTAGAAAATTATATTTTCCCATTTGGTGGGGGAAAAACAGGAAATTTTCTGAAACTTAAAAATTTCAAGTCATACCTTCTTTCTTCAAGGAAAGTATAATAAAAGTTCATTCAATGCAGGAAGTAATTCCTTAAAGGTTATGATGTAAATCATTTCCTTCATATGGATCCTCTATATATGGGCAGAAATAAACATTCATGCATGTCGCTCTATACGTGCAGACAATCATAAAACCTTTAAAATTAACTTAAAAATGCTTACTTATCATGTATTGGAAGGAGTAAATAAGCTTTCTCAAATATATTGACACCTTTCCACCACCTTCTGAACTTTTCAAATGTATTTTCATTGTCACTCGGCTGCAAGTCATTTAAGAAAAATACGAAAAGCTATCAATAACAGCAGAGCAGATGTAAGATGCAAAACAATGCCTAGCATTCAGACAATGAAAGTTATTTTCACAAGGTTCCACTGAATGTTGATGGATATTATTATGCAAAGGTTAGGTAAAATTTATCTGTCTTCCATTAGCGTATGAAAAGGGGAAAAATATCTCTTTACACCTCATATCTTTCACAGATAAGTGGAGACATTTAAGAAATGAAGCCAAAAAAATCTACCACAATGCTCGAATAAATTAAAGCTTCAGGTATTGCTTATGTCTATGTACTAATGGTTCTTATGCCTTGGGGACTCATGGAGGGAAAGCTTTTGGACCAAATAGCACCAAGGTTCCTTATCTAAAAAAGGTACTGTTCCCTTATTTTCACGGTTGATAAGTAACTTTCAAAAACCCCTTATCAAACAAAAAAAGAAGTAACTTCCAAAACAATGAGTGCTAACAATTTTAAAATACCAGTACCTAGGTTACCGGCTTCAGGATACATACTCAACAAGTGGGTTTAAAGCACCAGAAGCTACAACCTAAAGAAGTGCCAAAGCTGGAACCAGAGTTTTGTTTATGGGAGATTGGGAAAAAAACAAGGGAAAAATACCAAAGGGAAAAAGAGATACCTTCTTCATTACAGCCTCTTTCAGCTTCTTGTAGAAATAAGTATTAAAACAATGATAATCACATCCTGTCCTATTTGTGGGAGATGTTGGCTGCTGCAGATATCTAGCCACAGGAAATTCACAACTTGTTAAAAATGACAACCTCATCAGTCTCCAGCTTGCACCAAGAATACAATACAACCTGGCATGTATATATAATAAATGGATCGGGCACCTCTACCAGAGCTAGAAGGTTAATAAGCTGTAGGAAAATATGCAAAGAGAAAGAAGGAAGGAGACAGCAAAAAAATGCACAGAAGAGGGAGGGTGCACCAAAGCCTCTTCAAAATATTATTATAAACTTACCGGATGTAAAAGTTCATAATGGTCGATGAGAGATAAGCTTCAGGAGCAAGGCAGTCCATGTCTGAGTAAACAATTTCAACTGATTCTGGGTCATCCCTGTGTGGACAGATAAGAGGGAGAAGACCTTAAAACGTGTGTATTATACCTTGGCAAATTTGTTGTTGAACAAAGTTGCAATATGCATCACATTTAAGGTAAAGACTATGGTGTACCTTGATGGATAGTAGATCTTAGTCTCTTTCATGCTGAAAAAATAAGCAGCAGGAATCAAACAATTGCTAATCCCAACATATCATTTTGTTCAAATATTAAGCCCAAAAAAAAAAAAACAGAACAAAAAATTTCAAGATACCATTCATCTATTCTGTCTGCTTGCTCTGTTGTTCCAACAAGCTGAGGTTCCTCCTCATCCACTAGAACAACAGAATGTCCCTGCAAGAACAGCAAGTTGTAGTAGAGGCATCAATGATGAAATGTAAACGAAGAAAGAAAACAAAAGCTTGGCCTATTGGGGGGGGGAAGGCAACCAGTGTACTTTCAGATAACTTGTTGACAAATATATCATGTATGCCAACTAGAATTTTCCAACTGAATACACTAAACACCAACAATTCTTGCAATTGAAGCATCCCGTCATTGTCCTATTCAACAGCTACTGTGCTCATAAAAACATTCTATTTCAGTCTCTCAATCAACCGCACATGAAGAAGTAACCAAAAGCCTTGAAAGATACAAAAATAGCCAGTCTTGTCAAGCAAAACGTATGACACAAACCAAAAGATACAAACGGTTGCAATAAATCCTAATACAGGAAAATTAGGGAACCATTTTTTTTTTGGGGGTGTGTGTGTGTGTTTTGTTTTTTTTTGGGGGGGGGACGCTTGAACCCTTGACCTCAAGAAGGCAAAGCCTTCACAAGGCAAGGTGTATCATTAAACCAAAGGCCCATTTGTTAGGAAACCATAAAAAGAGTGTTTCCCGTAATAAAACATCACAAGTAACCATCCATTTTTAATAGCCAAAGCATCAAGGTTCATGTAAACCAGATTTCAAGAGATGTTCGGACTTTAGATATAAATGATTAAGTAAACCTTCGTACTTACAGAGAGAGTCTAAACTTTGCAGTCATTTTGGTTTGTGCCAACTAAACCAAAATGCATGCATAAACACTCCCCCGTCCAATATGCATATTTTGTTTCAAAGTTACTGTCTTCTGTGGTTTTCTGATTTGTGGTCAATTGAAAACAAAAAAGAAATGACAAACACATCTGATCATTTTCATTCTGTAAAGTTTCAGAGATTGGGTTGCTTTTGTTTCTATTCTTTTCTGTTCTTTATATCATGTGTATGCCTCTCCAGGGGATTTTCTTTTGAAATTTTAGCAGACATGAACAGGTTAACAACTCTTGAGGATTTATTTTTCAGGTTATTGGAAAGCGGTCATTCATTTGTGTAATGATTAAAAGCAGAAAACTAAGTAATTCCATTGGCAGTATCAAAATTTGAATGCTTAAAGAGAATTCTACAATTCAAAGAAATGATAGTAGCATGAAAGGATGGCACATTGCGATATATTTCCAAACATGCAACAGAAGATATTATGAAATAAGGATAGAATAAATATCGCAACTGAAAATAACTTACATTCCTCAGCCTCAACTCATTTGAAGGCTGAACTTGAGAAGCATTTCTCCTACCAAATGAAGAAAAGCAAATTAGACATACAATATGCATTCATCCAGGCCTGTGAATAAAGAATCCTGGAGATCCAAATGGTAATGCGTTGCTAATAAAATTTTCTCTGAACTGAAACAAGATGGCTTATATAGGCGTTTTTACTTGGAAAAATAGTTTTAGAACAACAAATAAGTGCATATCGAAACGTAAAAGAGCTGGTGAAGACAAACAGTCACCCAAGATGGAAGTTCACCTTTCCTTTCCTTTCCCTTCCTGAACATCTTTCTCACAATCAATTTGCAAACGTAATATCACAGTAAAGAAATTATCATTGCTTATACAAAGTGTTAAAGAACAAGCCTTGCCTTCTCTCGTACTAAATCAAAAATTTTCCAATCAAGGAATTGTTTTATGTTCAAAATTGTATATTCATGAAAAATTTTACTTTTACTCATAAATCAACAGCTACTACTTATATTAAAAATAACTAGCATACATATCCAGTATGACACAACCATGCAAATAAAATCACACAAACTGATTACAAATACAGAGGTCTAACTCTCCATACAACTATCCCATATAGTCAAGTTGAACGATGCTGCTCTGCATATAACATTTCACAAACAATAAAACATGTACAAAAGATGAAAACTCATACAATAGGACTCCCAGGCTTACAACTCTACCCCCACTGTCAAGATGAAGGATTCTACTACACATAAATCATTTCACAAATTATAAAACATGCAAAACATAAAAACCCATACAATATGATACTCACTACTCAGGCTGTCAGGCAAGGTGATAACATATGTACCACAAGTCCGTAACTCGTAGTAACATCAAAACCCACGTAAATTCTTATACATAAATTTTTTTATTGCTAAATATGTTAAATACGAAATTCTGAGAAAACAGGAAGGAAAAAAAAAAAAGAACTGTAGGAGAAATAATGCTTACTTCTTTGATAAACAACCAGACAAATTCTCCTGAAAGACACGACTTGAACAAGTAGAGGAACCCATGCCCTTTTGATCACCATTTGAGAGATGATGTTTATCAGCACCCATGGAAAGACTGCTAGGGCATTGAGAAGGTTTTTTTATTAAAGAAAACCTATTCTTGGGTCTTCCCCTTGATGAATATTGCCTGTTATGTCCCACTTTCCGGTGCTCACAGGGTTTAACATACGCAAACTCTTTTTCAAAGGCATCAACTGTCCTAGAATCCATCTGCTAGATGCATTAAAGAGAAGTAAATCACGTATACTGCTTGCTTAAAGGCTTAAAGCTATCAAATTCAAGAAAAAAATACTCAACTCAGTAAAAGCATCATACATTTTCATCTTTCTTTATGCGAAGATATGAGGCAAATGCAGACCGTGAAGATGGTAGAGATGATAGATCCCCTTGTTTGGAGCCATCATGTGCACCTGCGAAACAAACAGTACATAAAAAAGTGCAAAAAACGTCATCAAACAACTAACTTGTTTCATATCCTATCTTGATCCTAGCATCCCCCTCAAGTTGCAAAAACATGGTAACTGAACTGCAAATACTCAACCCATGCTGTAAATTCTGTTTAGTTTCAGATCTTTTGCAAGGAATAATTATATGTTCCAAATCTGTACGGAACTAAATTCCCTCCCATTTCAATCCAAAGTAATTCCTGTATCTCTCTATATCATTCAAAAATTGTACGCACTTCCATGAACCGTTTTAAAGGGAACATGTAACTTTTTCTTTATATTATCATAAGTAACCAAAGTGTATTTTCAAAATACACATCACACATGGTTAACAATAGAACGTGTGTGTGTGTATACATATGTATATGCCCAGTATTGCAGGCAATTCATCGTTGGCCAGAGAAGAGTATTCCAAAGAAGAGACAATAAGCAAAGTGATTCCCATTAAAAAGAGAAAGAGACACTTCAGGGCCAACTAAAACTGCCTCCTTAAAATGAACTGGTTTTGACTGAAGTGTAACATTCCATTACACGGAACGAGTATATCACAAACACTTGCCTTATGCCTTCCCTATACTTGCTTTCTCTCCAATCTCTATCCATTAACAAACTAAGAAATATCACAAAATGTTATGTAAAAACATATCAATTCAAATCTCATAATTTATATGAAAGAAGATATACTATAATGTCTCTTTTCAGTGCCCGTGATCCTAATGATGGAAATCAATTGGAAAGCCAACCTAAAGTGAAAGTGGCTCGGTACTTAGGACATATAAAAGAAATACCACTATTAAATTAGCATATCATCTTCATAACTTGGACCTATCAAGTAATACTGCTCATTCGAGGAACAAATAATTTGTATTTGAAGTGTTTAACCAGCATTTCTATTAAAAATTTAAAGTAAACTTTTGGTAATTATTTTATTTTTGAGGGATGTAGTGAGGATTAATGTATTTGAGAATTTCAATATCTAGAACCTTGTAGAACATGCTTGCACTTAGTATCCTTCTTGAACCTTCTATCAACATCTAGAACCTTCACTTTTCTACCAATGTTCACCACTAATTTAGAATTCTTGAACCTTCCAAACCCCCACCTACCTTGAGCTTCTAGACCCTTCTCTAGTCACCTATAAATAGACCCCCACCAACCCAAATCACAAAGCCAACAAAAACACAAATCACCAACAACAATTACCAGCTTATTCCTACTTTCCCTCTTGTAAATCTTTTTCCTTTTGTAAGCTTTTGATTGTAAGCTGGTAACTTAGATTTCCCCAAGTCTTTTTCTTCATTCAGTTTCTGGAGTTATATTCTAATTTCTTCGTTTTTCTTCAACTTTGGTTGTGAGTCTGGGCTAGTAGAAATTTATTTTTCACTAAAACAATTTCCGAAATTTGAAATTTGTCTTTCTTCACAATTTCTAGCTCCAAGGCAAACCTAGCCTCATGTTAGCTATTCATGCATCTTGAAATCCTAGAAAAAAATGGAGTCTGCTCCTATTACTGGTAATCAAAAGGGCAACAAAAAAAAATGATATCAATCTAAGAAATGCATTCAATGTGCTAGCAAAGCAATAAGAATCTCACAAACCAAACTTGGGATCCGTGATTGTCTGCCCTTTTCACACCCTTCATTATCCTGTCAAATAAAATTCATGGCAAACAACAAACAAATTCTCAGTTGTGTTAAAGCATTTATATAATATGAACAGCTAATATTTCACATGCACGGGGACAATTTCTGCTACTGAGTGATCAATTGCATCAATCGCAAATCACAAGGTTACCCGAAAAAACATTAGCTAAGAAACCACTCGGCCTCCAATGGCTCTACAGTTGTATTAGTCTCTCTTTAACTTATCTCTCCAGTTGTCTATTTGCATCACATTTTTCCAATCATCACCCAATTTAAATTTTTCACCAATATAATTTTCCACCCCACCAAAGATAGTATCAATCCGCCTCTCCCTATCAGCCCCGATCTATAGAATACTAGTGCACATTAATCTACAGGTGGAAATAATTATGAAAAGGGATAAAGAGGAGACCATATTGGTAAAAATACAATGCAGGTACACAAGACTTCACAAACAAGACTTTGTTTCATCACATGACTTAGCGTGGTCCCTTATGGCAACAAGTTTCCAGGACTGACATAACTGTAACGCCACTGCAATTTCTCTATCAGAACAGTTTCGCAACACAGCTACAATGTGAATGTACGTTTCCATGGCCCTAAATACAGATACATATGTACTCTAGAATGGATTAAACTTTATACTTCAAGCTCATGTTTACAGATGCTAGTCCTCCCCTGTATAAACGAAAAACAGCAGTAAATCATGCACCCCACACCAAAAAAAATTCCATGTACTACATGCAACTTGAAAAACTAACGCAATAATACGAGTTTGTATGTGTATCTATAGTAATATTAAGAAACAGAGAGAAAGAGAAAGATTCATGCCTTTAGCATGTGGAATTGGACCAAAAAAATGATATCAATAACAATCGAACCTTCTCAGCTCGTTGGTGTTGCCGTCGCTCTATCTCCTCCTCTAGGCGCTTGATACTGACCCTAAGCTTCTGGCCTTTATCCGGCAACCTGTCACCGACACTTTTAAGATTCTGTATGTTCCTTTCAAGCACGTCATTCAGTTCTCTGTCGTTCATATGATTAAACCCGTTCTGTTGTTGTTCGTCATCCATCGCCGCCGATTTCAATTTCTCCGCTGCCGCACCGGTGTTTGTAACCACCATTACCGTCGGAGGCTCCTCATCCTCATCTATATGATCAGACAAGAGCTTTCCCCAATCTAGGTCTAGCTTTTTCCTCTTTCTCTCTCCTCCTTCCATGCATGAGAACGTACGTTACTTACAGTCAATGGCACTGATTTTATTCTCTGCAAGTCTGTGTCTCTATGTGGTGGCAGTGAGGACGGAGGGTGAAAGTGGAGCTGAGAAAATGAGGAAAAAGAACAGGGAAAGGCTATTGCCAGAGCAATGGAGCCGTGTCAAGTCGAGTCTGGATCCTCAAAACGATGATGTTTCACACCACAACGATGTCGTCGTGTCATTTTAAGGAACGACACCCTACTGTTAAAAAAATAAAAGCAGATAATCCGAATCCGTGTCGAGTCCAATTGAACTCGGGATAATTAATAGGATATAAAATTAAAAATTTTGGTGTTTTTTAAATTTTGATTTTAGAAATGAGCGAAACCTTGATGAAATTAATTAAAAGAAAAATATACAATATAACTTGTTAATATACATGTTACATATGATTCATATATTATATAAATTTAATATGACTCGTTAAATACAAATTAATAAACGACTTAAATATGGTGACATATGAACCTGATAAAACCCGATAAAATTTTATATCACTAGATATGATTTTATTTTTTTCAAACAGTCACTCGACACAACTCATAGTTCTAATTATTACTCTGACAGTGTAGTGGAAGTAGTCAAATTAGTTCTGGCGGTAGTAATTGGCTGTCTGTAGCCACTGAGTCACGGGCTCTCTGTATCTTTTAGCCACATTTTCGTACCAAAAAAAACTGGGAAGTTGCCAAATCTCGGCGGTTCTTCCCTTCTCATCAAAAAAATGAAAAAAAATACCCGCCCTTCCATTTTTCCCTCAACAAAAAATCCAAAAAATTATGTGGAACTCTTCTTTTCCAAAAAAAAATTTTGTAGGGAGAATACAAAACTTTGTATTAATCATAATGTATGGCCTAGCTGAATCTGAATCTGAATCATGATTGATAATGAATCGTGTCATGTTAAAATTATAGTATTTGAATTAAATTGTATCAAAATTTATTTAACTCATAATTAATGGTTGGCCACCATAAAAGCCTAGCAATAAAAATTTAATTTTGGTTATAAAACCCCCATAATGTGTTTACATAGAGTCAAACTTCGCTTTAAAAAGTTCGACCTTTGAAATATTTGAACTTGTGATTTTTGTCACACGAAATAAGATTATATTTTATGTCAAATTCTTACAATTTTTTTTTTTTAGGGGACAGGGAAAGAGGACTTGAACTTTTGACCTCAAAAAGACAAAGTTTTCACAAAATAATGAGTATTATTGGATCAAAGGTCTATTAGTAAATTTCATTGATATGGTCATTTGAAGACAATTGATTTCATTTTGATTAATAGTGAATGATTTAGAATAAGATTATCAACTACCCAAAAGAATTTTGAGTATAGTGTGTGTGTGTGTCTTGCACGATTGAACATAATTTTTTAGATATATTGCATCCACTTTCACTGAGATTGTTCAAATAATTGCGAGACTTCTCCATGTATTGATAATAATGTTATGTGATTTTCTACTTTGGTTTTAGGTAACAAATTCTTATGCAGTTTGTACTTTGTTTAAGAAATCGTTAAGAATTGGATAATGTTAAGCAATTAATATTCTAAAAAAGAACTTATACTTGTTTACAAAGGCCAACATTTATTTGAATTGTTGCCAAACAAACCTTATCCATGTAATAAAGACCTTATACTTGTGTTACAAACTATCCCAATGCACCCTTCCCCCCCCCCCCCCACACACACTCTTTTCCTGCTTCATGCATCTCCTTGCCTCATCAATGTCATGTCATCCTTGACTATCACGACAACAAAAAATCACCCAAAATCAACCAATACGACCCATAATCACATAACCAAACCATCATAACAACATTTTTGTTCGTTCCCTCCTATCCACACTTTACATTCACATTGTCATCCCCACAACCAACCATCATAACTTGAAATCCAAATATTAAAGCCACAACAATCATCTCAAACGTTGTAAGGAGAAAAAAATTGTAAATCTAAGCACAATCAAAACAGAATTTTGAAACTCTTGATGTTAAAAATACTTAATTCAATGTATGGAAGTACTTGTTTTATGTTTCTAAGCATAAATCAAAATATACCCCTCTCGTAATACATTGTTGCAACAAATTAGCACATACTTCTCAAATATGAGGAAAAACATAGAGAACATAGAGTTATCAATTAACAAAGATAAACAAACAACCAATTTAAGAGTGCAAAGCCTAGTCAATTAGCGTTTCCAACTGTAAGCTCAAATGGCTCACCATCCTCAAGGGACGCACAAATACTGCAAAAAAATAAATACAAACTACAAATCTTAAGTCCATTTGTAAGAGTAAGAAACGCAACGCAAATTAGTCTTGAAATTATTGAAATCTTTAGTTGCCTGAAATTTATCCTCCAAACCCTAGATTGCATGAAAACATTTCATGCATAAACTTGAGGATCAAAGAGGCCATCACAATCAATTGTCACGTATCTTGTTGTCAATTATTCTCTCTTTCTCCACACACAAACACGCATAGAGATCAAAATGGAATTTAGAAAAATAGTAATAGTCTTTAATAGGGACAAACAAAAAAGAGTGAGCGTTCATCATCCTTAGAGTTGGTGAGTGAATAAGTGTTTGATGGTAATATATGAGAAGACACATTATGATTGTGTGATAAGAAACTTGTTAAAGATTAAACCGCACTAGATAATCATTTCATATTAAATTCATTATAGTCTCATTTTTTTAGTTTCTATTAGACAAACGAGAAGGACAACAATGACAAGTGAGTTCAATATTACTTTCCATCGCCATAAGACTATAAGTAATGATAAAAAATTCATTTTAAAATAGTCGAAATGATCGAAATATTTCTATTTTTAAGAGGATCGAAACGAAACAGCGATGCAATCGACTTTCTAATACTTTAAGGTATTTTAAAATATTTTGAAGTATTTTGTGATGTTTCAACATGTTTTTTATCATTATTTTAAGGTGTTTTGAGATATCTGGTATATTTTGACAAATATTTTTGAAAATAAACTCTCAAAAATTTTATTAGTTTCATATTGTTTCCAAAATATTTTCACAACATCTCCGAAAATGTTTATATTTTTTAGGTGACCGAAATATTATACTGAAACAAAAATTTAATCCTTTACTATAAGCGGTCTCATTATTATTTTAACAAAATCCAAGAGAGGTGAATGTAATTCACTCTTTATTGTTTTCCACCGATAATAGACCACCGGTATATTACCATTACTCACGCCGTCGTGCGTCATCATAAAACGAACCCTAGACCGACAGACCACCAAATCTCTTCCCCCAAAATCTGCATAAAAATAAAATTATTCTTCGTTCTTGAGCTCGCTAGGGCAAGCACGTTACACAAAAGAAAAAGAAAGACCAGAGATAATCGAACACACCTTCACAATCTCTCTCCTCCGTATTCGCAGAAGCTATCTCTGCATCAATGGCGGACTCAACCACCTCCCCTGAAACCACCATAGATCCCACTTCCCAACAGCCCGAACCCGATAACCCTAACCAACCCGTTCCATCGTCATCACAGCCACCACCTTCTTTAAATCCACCCACATCTGTTACTCCAAACCCTAACCCGAACTCAACTACGCCGCCGCCGCCACCACCACCACCACCACCACCAGCGCCATCTATCCAACCATACTCCGCTATGCCTCCGACGGTACCGTCTTTCCGACCGGCGGCGCCACCAGTTCCGGTCCCTTCTATTCCGCAATTTTCGCCTCTTCCGAACCCTAATTTGCAGGCTCCTCATAATTATCAGAATCCCGGAGTTCCGCCACCTGGTGTTAGTACGATGCCACCAGGTATGATACCGCCGGCGGCAGTGAGCGGTGCTCCGCAGGTTGCAGTGTCGCCGGTGCTGCCATTTATGCCGCCATATGCTCAGCCAGGTCAGCCTCCAAATCCGGCAATGAGACCATACTCTCCGATGCCGAATGGATACCCAGTTCCTCAAGGCACAATTCCTCCTCCGGGTGGGTTATTGTTCTCATAATATCTCTCCCTTTTTTTATGTCTTCCTCTCTCTAAAATCATGTACTATCTGTATCATTCTACAGATAACCTCAAGTGTTCCTAATTTAGAACTGAAAAGTTGTTTTTGGTTCCCCTCTATAACTGAAGTTTGTTCAATGTTGGTAGTTAAAAAGATCTGAAGGCTATCGTTGTTATTTTTTTCATGTAGATATCTGTAATTTTTTATTCATTCTTTCATGAGCTGCAAAATATAAAGCCTTTTTGAATTTAAAACCTTTTTCAAGGTATGATTGTGGTTCTCATTGTTTTGAAGGTCCTATTTGGTTTCTCATTGTTTTGAAGGTATGATTGTAATTCTCATTGTCTGAGGGTACAATGCTTACATTTTATTGTGTTTAGTGTAGCGTTTGATGCATGAAACTGTATGCGCATCTTGTTCGTGTGCATGTTGGCAAAATAGTAAGAAAATATGTTACTTTTGGTTGAATCTTGTGTATATTAGCTACAATACTACAGTTCTATGATAGCGTGGGTTATGTTATTTTATGTTCTGTTATATTAGAGTTAAGTGAGTGACCAGGAGGGTTAGGATTTGGTTGAGAGGAGTTGGGGGGGATTCGTGTTGGTTGTATAAGGGGTATCGATGACGGGATCTTTCTCCTACAGTTTCTTGATTGATAACGGTGAGAAAGGTTGGAAGGTCATATTGCTGTTCTTTAGAGACTGACTACCACTCTACAACTCCCCTTTTGGTAGGCACCCGTTTGCTTTGTTTCCTTGATTATCAAGTTTAGAATTGTCTTGCTGGGAAAAAAATTACTGTTTTCTGCTAAACTGGCCTCTGAGATTTCAAATTGAACGTTAAGAAACAATTGGACTAATGTGATCTTCCCATATGTCATACTCTATAATGTATGGTTCTGCCATTTTCGTTTAGTACGATATCATCTCGTAG